GTACCCACTGTATATATATATATATATATATATATAGGTAGATAGATAGATAGATAGATAGATAGATAGATATAAACCTGCTATATATATATTTTGGACCAGGCCTCAGTCTTGTTTTTTCCCCACTATGAACATAATGTTGACAGGCCGTTCTGTTTATATTTAGTGTGAGCCAAGCTAATCTGCTAAGTGGCCTTGAAAGAGTAAAGTGTGCAGTGTGCACTTTAACATGTATGCATTTTAGTTACTGATAGATATTGCCAAAAATGCTCTCACAGTAGACTGTCAACTCAAACTGAACAGTGACTAAATTCTGCTCTTACATTTTGTTTTATTAACTTAAATAGTTTAATTTAACTGTTTAAAACGAAAGTCAATAATTTATTTACATTTCTTTGTGTTTTGGGCAAGTACACATGGAATAAGTGTGATAATGCACATCAGTCAGATGGTCTTTATTGAAAAATTGATGTTGATTTCAGAACATTCCTCTAAACAGCACCTGAGGAGAAGAGCTGAGGAAACCCGCTGACCTGAGTCAGCACAAATGCTGTGTTTAGTCTTTAAGAGATGAAATTAATGTCTGGAAGCGTCTCAGCCTGTCCAAACCTGTTCGAGGAGCAGGGGACCTTCTTAAGGCAGCTGTCTGTTGGTTTTGGCCCCGAATCAAACCTTCTCACTGGGCTAGGAACAAGCCATCTGATTGGATGAGAGAGAGCGTAATGCGCTCTGATTGGTGGAGAGGGTTACCCTGCGGGCACTTGCTATCATGTTTAGTCTGTTCCTCCAGGCTATGAGATCTGATCTTCAAAGAAATGTGCTGATGTTTTACAGTCTGCAATTAAGGTGTGTTTAACTAGCTGCGGTTTAATGAGCACTTTGTTTTAGCTCTAAAATCACAGCTTGATCCTAGACCTTAAACGTCTCAGCCAAAGGTAAAACACTATTTAGACTTTTTTGCATTAATATATTGGAGTGAATTGAGTACTGTAAATAAGCTCCAGTCACCTGATCGTTGTCATAAACAAGGACGCTCTTGAATCATCATGATTGGGTCAATTTTTCAATAATGACCAGCTGACTGTGCATTATCACCCTTCAAAATCTTTTCAAAAAATAAGTACATGGTCATGAAATATTTTTGTTTTTGTTTTAAATAAATAAAATATTTACATTGATAACATACAATTTTTATTTATTTTTATTTATTTAAGAAGAAAATTACATGTGTGCTTACTCATAAATAAATGGGCATGAAATATTGATTTTAGTTTGAAATATTTAAATGAAAGCATTAAATGTCATTTAAACAGTAGTTTAAATAACATAATACTGGTAATTAATTAATTTAATAATATATAATTCAGTAATAATTCAATTATAATTCAGTAATTAATTTAATACTGTAATTAATTCAATAATAATTCAATAATTTAAATAATTTGTTTAGATATTTGAGAAAAAAAAGAGAAAAAACCTATAATGTGTACTTACCCCAAAAAATAAAGAATGGTTTTACTTGTAAATATTTAAAATAATAATAAAAAATTAATTAATAAAATAACAAAAATAATTACAATTTTTTTAAATTAATAAAATAATTATTTAAATAAAACTTAATAAAATTTAAACTAATAATCCATTGAAATATTTGTTTATTTATTGAGAAGAAAAAAAAAACATATTACATGTATACTTACCCACTAATAAGAAAAGAAATATATATTGGACATGAACGAATATAGATTGTGAATCATTTAATTTTAAATGCCTAACTCTCACATCCATGTTGTTCCTGTGCAGCACTTCACCGAGCTGCTGGATGATCTGTCCCAAGAGGCTTTGCTGGGTCAGTTGTTAAGCGACCCGTTCCTGTCCGGCCGTGGAGATGCTATGGACACGGAGGAGGATCTGACCCCTGCATCTCCAGTGCCGCCACACATTCAAGCCGAGCACAGTTACTCTCTGTGTGGAGACTCGCGCCCACAGTCGCCCCTGTCCCATCAGCCCGGGGAGCCCGGCAGCGACACCGGTAAGACTCGGCCACAATCTGCTTCCAGTTTGATAACAGAAGTCAAAATAAATCTCTAAATGCAATCTGATGTGTGTTCTAGGTGACACAGACAATGACGAGTGGCCCATGGAGCAGGAGGATAAAGGGCTGAAGATGGAGTCTCTGCTGTGTGGCCCGTTGCCCGTCATGTTGCCCACCCTGACCCTCACTCTGACCCCCGAGGGTCCCTCCTCGCTGACCCCTCCAGCCGCTCAGGTCAGACCGCTCAGCCTGAGCACATCACACACACACACTGTCAGTGGGATTTTATTGAAGCGCTGATTTCTGCTCGTATCTGCAGGTGAAAGAGGACAGCGAGAGTCTCAGCCCTCAGATTAAACTGGAGCCACACGAGGTGGATCAGTTCTTAAACCTCTCACCCAAAGGTAAAACACTGTCTCTGACATTTTTGGGTTATTGCACAAAAAATAAAGATATCGGAGCTCATTAATGATTACAGTAAATAACATCATTATCATTATCATGATTACAGTATCATGTCATTATCATAAACGGAATCATCCTGAATGGGTTTATTTTTCAATAATGACCTGACTGTACATTATTACACAAAAAATAAATAAATGTGCTTAAATTATTGTTTTTTTTTTATTATTTTAAATAAATAATACAAATAAAATAATGAAAATGTAATAATCTAAATATTTTATTTTAAATAATTTAATAATTCATTTTAGTTATTTGAGAAGAAAAAAGATTTAATGCATTGTTTTCTTTTTGTTTTTGTTAAATTGAATGCAATACATTTGTACTTATCAAAAAAGTGGGCAATTATTCATTTGAGTTTTTAATCATTTCATTTTAATAATATACATATTTTTGTTTAAATAATGTAAACAGTGCTTTCATAATTAAAATCATTTATTTTAGTTATTTGAGAAGAAAATGACTTATTAAATGTGTACTTAGTTTTCAATAATTTAATTTTAATAATTTATTTATTTTTTCAGGTACATGTGTAAAAAGTATTTTTCATCTTAAATAACTAAACTAAATTATTTAAATTAATAACATACTGTTTAAATTATTTAAATTAAATTCTATTTCGATTAAAGTGACATTATTTTAAATTTAAATCAGTATTTCATGTCCATTTTAGTTTTTGAATTTAAACTATTTAATTTAAACAGTAATTTAATAATCAAATAATTTCATAATCTAAATTTATTTTAGTTATTTTAAAAGAAAAGCACTTAATACTCATAATACTTAATGTACTTAGCAGAACAAAATAAATGGATATGAATATTGAATTTTAAATAATTACATTTTAATCATATTTTAATTGAATTTAAGCAATAATTTAATAATTTAAATAATAATTTGTTTATTTGAGAAGAAAAGACTACAAAATTACCAAAAATATTGATTTTGCTTTTTAAAATAATTACATTTTAATAATTAAAAAAAATGTTAATTTAAATGATTGTCATTTCAGTAATATAATCATTAAAAAAATTATGTATTACTTTTATTATTATTTGAGAAGAAAAATAATTCAGAGTAATAGAAGAAATATGAAAGTCACACAGCTATGTGGAAAATCAATCTATTACAAATATTTGGCCACAGAAGGCTGTGATTTGAAACCATCAGAATTGATCTGTAATGTTCTGCGTCAGGCCTGGAGTCTCTGCAGATGCCGCCCACTCCTCCCAGCTCTCACGGCAGTGACTCGGAGGGTAGTCAGAGTCCCACACAGACCCCCGCAAGAGCCCCGTCTTCCCTCTCCAGCTCTCCTCTGCTCACCGCACCTCATGTGAGTACAGAGGCATCTTGTTCACTAACAGACGTGTTGTGTTTTACTAAGCTCCTCTCGTCTGATCTGACAGAAACTGCAGGGCTCCGGGCCTCTCCTGCTGACGGAGGAGGAGAAACGCACGCTCATCGCTGAGGGGTATACCGTGCCCACCAAACTGCCCCTGTCCAAAGCTGAGGAGAAAGCACTGAAGAAGATCCGCAGAAAGATCAAGAACAAGGTCAGCCTCGTAAAACGGTAAAAGATGCATACTTCAAATCTGAGTACTAAAATTCATATCAAACACACTCATGACTTTCAGATTTCAGCACAAGAGAGCCGCAGGAAGAAGAAAGAGTACATGGATGCTTTAGAGAAGAAGTAAGTCTGATAAATATTCATCAGATTTAATTAGCACACATAAATGTAACATTTATGAAAAATAAATACACTTTTTCCACTCGAGTTCTCAGAGGTGTTGCAAAATTAAAGATCAAGTTGTTCGAGCGTAAAAGACTCAGTGATGCTTAAACGTTTTTAAGTACGTTTATTATTGTGAATGATTCATAGCTGCACGTTATTCCCAAGAAAAAATATTTTCAAAAATAATCTTCATTAAAGTATAGTAACTTGCTCCACTTCTGAAACCTTTCCAATTTCTTTTTTTTTCCAGTAAATATTCTTTTTCACCTAGAATTAAGTCAAATTATCAAAGAGAATACACACATTCGTATATATGCACGTATGTAATATATATATATATATATATATATATAAATTTATTTACTTTAAATATAATTAAATTCTTAAAATATTAAATATTATAGTATTTAACATTTTAAAATTATGTAAATTATAAATGTATGTATATATGTAGATTAAAATGTATATTTTACATATAGGAGTTTTTTTTTCTTCATTAAATATTCTGTTTTTACTTAGAAATAAGTCGCATATGAAAGTAAAATGGGTTTCATGTTACAGAAATTTACAAATTAGATATTTTCAGTAGCTACATGAAAACTTTAGGGTAAATAGCATGTGACATTATAATTAAAATGCATAATAATTACATAGAATTATAAATAAAAATTAAATTCATGTTAACTATTAATTAAAATGCTTAAATGATTAATCATATATCTATGTATACATTTTGATTAAAATATCTATTGCAGTTTTTTTTCACTCAGAAATAAGTGACATTATGAAAGTAAAATGGGTTGCAAATCCAGCTTCCTGTTAAAGAAATGTGTAAGTGCAATATTTTCAATATCTGTATGTGACATTGCAATTCCCTCTCCATCCACAGGGTGGAGACCTGCTCCAACGAGAACAGTGAGTTACGCAGGAAAGTTGAAATACTGGAGTGCACCAACAAGTAAGAGCCTCAACCCTTTCCAGTTACCTGCACTACACGTTACAGCGATCATTAACTCATCAGCTCTCATTTTGATCTCACACTTTCTGTTGCGGGCCGAATTTTCAGTCATTAATGATACATGCTATGTAAACAGCGCTGTATTGATTGTGTGGCAGGTCTCTGCTGCAGCAGCTGCACTCGCTGCAGGCGGCGGTGGCAGGAAAGGTCCCGCGGTCCTGCAGCGTGACGGGCACCCAGACCTCCACATGCCTCATGGTGAGCGCTCCTGCATCAA